ATAATAATTTTATTTTATTAATACTATAATTAATTTAAAATCTATTATTTTATTTATAATAAATTTAAATTTTATAGAACAAAGTTTTCATGATAATACTATTGCTATTATATATTTATCAGCAGATACTATTATTTATCTTTACATACTCAATATTTGGAAGCAATTAATACTAATGACCAATTTGAAATTAGTTTAATGATATTTATTAGAATTTGGAAAAAATTTTTACCAAGTATCAAAAAATTAACTCCACATAGTGATTTATGTTTAAAATATAAAGATATAAGACTTAATGCAAATTATTTGTCAATTGAAGAAAAAGAAACTAAAGTTTTAGAATAGCATAAACATATCAAATAAGCACTAGAAGAATATAAAAATTATAAGTTAAATAAGTTTAAATTTATAAAAATTAAATTTGATTAAAATTTTATATTTAATTATTAATTAAATTTTATAAATTATTTAAATAATTTTAATTTGAATTAATATATTTGTACTCTCAAGGTACATTAAAATTTTTATACTTGGTATTTTTGTAGCACAAAATCGATAAGTATTACTCAATAGTACAATCGTATGCATCAGAGATTAAATTATGTATAGAAAATAAAATAAATGTATAGTAAACAAACAACATTATGATATCATTTTTTCATGATATGAATAGAAGAAAAGCGACAGGTTTCTTGATTTCTTTCTCATACCAAACCTATACAAGGACGAAAAGTATTAAGAAAAAAAGGTTAATTACCCACATACACTCTGATTTTAAAAGCCTTACTAGGTTCATTATCATATAAAGGTCGTTTATGACTAGTCGTTAGGTGTATTTTATCTAAATCACATTGTTTGTAAATAGAAGGAAAGTGAAATTAAAATACAGTTTTTCTTGCAAGAGACATATAACAAACGCGAAAAGTGTTAAAATTACTCACCTACATGCACATCAGTCTTGAAAGCCTGCATTAGTTAGTGAAGGTCGTTTATAATTTAGACAATACAATATTTTAGTTTAACCTTAAAACTATTTTTTAGGTGTGTTTTCTTTAAATCATACTGGTTTATTCAAAAAACACCAAAATGAAAAGAAAGACAACTCGAAAACTTTTGGAGAGCAGTCTTTAAGTGTTGCAGTATAGTAAGTCAGATTTTTTTTTTGATTTTGGCCTCAATTTATATAATTTCTTTGACTAATATAAAATTAAATTAAAGCGAGCAGAACTCAGTTGAAATTGTGCATCCTCTAGTGGTTGGTCAAATTTTTGGCAGTTGGGAAGAATTAGATCATTTTGTGTCTCTCTATGCAAAGTCCCAGAATTTTGTTTATATTACTTGTGGGTCAGAGTATAATAATGGAGTTTGCCAAAGCTGCCGCTATGCCTGTGAGCATCAAGGTCATAAAGCTATGAATAAAAAGACTAATATAGCTGAAAAACAATGGGAAACGTGAAGTAAACGTACAGGGTGTTGGTGGCAAGTTCATGCTAGTTGTCCTAAAACAACGAGTGTATTAAGTATCAGTTCTATTTGTTTGAATCATAATGACCATCTATTAAAGAATGAAACTAATAAGTTTGCTATAAAATATTGTGTATTTACTGAAGAGATGTTATATGATATTAGGTTTTGGACAGAAACTGGTAACATTAATATGAAAACTCAGTATCAAATGTTTGTAAAGCGGTATCCTGATAATTTTTTTTATCTCAAGATCTTTCAAATGCTATTCAAACCTTCAAGCAACAA